ACCTGAAGGTGCAGCAATGGATCCTCTACTTACAGATAGAAATGAGGATTAGGCAATATATAAAGATAGTGACTGGTTATCAGATACAGACAAGCTACATCGCTATTATCATAAGGATGAGATAGCGTAAGTTCAATAAGTTTGTAAAATTCTATTATAAATTAATTAATGTTTTTTCTCCAAATTTGCTGTCCCAAAATCGAGGATTGTCTTATACTTGGGGAAATACAGTAGTTAAACAGTCTTGTAAATCTGCACACACTTGGGCTGGTATGAAGATAGACAGTGTGGTACGCACGTTTGGCCAATCAGGTAGGCAAATAGGGATAGTCAGGTAGGCAGGTTTGAAAGGTCAGGTAGTCAAATTTGTATAGTCAGGTAGTCAAATTTGTAAAGTCAGGTAGTCAAATTTGTATAGTCAAATTTGTATAGTCAGTCAAATTTGTATAGTCAGGTGGTCAAATTTGAAGTCAGATAGTCAAATTTGAGTCAGGTAGGCAAATTTGTATGGTCAGGTAGTCAAATTTAGGTAATGTAGAAAAATATTTAGACGGTGACTTGTATGTGTCACTGGACTAATGCACAAGCATGAAGACAGTCAGTCTAGTAGTCATATAGTTAGTCATACAGACATATGATTAGCAATCATTTAGACATATACTTAGACATTTTAGCAAGTGAATTTATAGTTACAGTCAGGTATTTACCTAGATTAGCGGTTCTTAACCTGCCGATCGCTACCCCTTTGTGGGTCGAACGACGCTTTTACAAGGGTCGCCTAAGACAATCGGAAAACATATTGATTGAAGTTATGAAGTAGCACCGAAAATAGTTGTATGGTGGGGTTCGCCACAACATAAGGAACTTGATTAAAGGATTGCGGCTTTAGGAAGGTTGAGAAACACTAAACTAGATGGACACTCGGGTAGGCGATCAATAAATTATCTAGTTGGGCGATCAGGAGCACGTAAAGTTAGACAACCACGTAGGCAGGACTATAGAATAGAAGGTTAAAAGGGTAGGTTAAAAAAAAAAAGTAAAGGACACGTTATAGACCAATCGTCCTTCAGTGGTTAACGTGACCAACATCACAGCAGTCACCTTTATCTCCCAGGAAATTTCCTGGTATCTATTTTAAACTTGGTCCACCCAAGAACCAAGGCCAGTTTTGAAGAGGAAAATATGCTTTGTTGCAGATTTGCAGTGAAGACCTTCTAGCCACCAAGCAGGTTTCTAGCCATTATGTTAACCGCCTCATCAAATATAGAGTCAAACGATAAACATAGTAAGATAACGGAAATAGATAACTAAATAATAAGTTTTTATTTTTATTTTTTGTACCTAAGGATTTATAACCCTTTGGCCGGTGCAGTCGTCACGGATCGTACAGATCAGGATTTTACTTTTGCCTCGCGAATAGAAAACAAAAAATGCATGACTTTACCGAGGATCTGAACCTAGGTCTCCCCCCCCCCCCCCCACACGTAAGCTCAGTATTCATTATTATGCCGCCGGCTGCGCTTATCAGACTATATACTCACGTATATTTTGCCTTGAAATGTAAGTCTGTGCATATCAAACACTATCTTCCGTTTTTCAGACTTAATGTAAACAGTAAACACCTCAAACATCTGACCGGGTATCTGAGAACAAATATGTAATTATTTATAATGCAGGAACAACCCATGCTCATCTTTACGTGTAACACTTATGATTATGTTTATGTTTATGTTTATTCGACGGATCAACATCGTGGCACACAGGTGTAACCATTAAGTGCTCCGTTCTTCAAATCTGAGTCTGAAGAATCTCAGTGCAGTGCATGAACTCCGATGCACCGGCGAGAATTTTGAAATACTCTGGGTAGATTTTTAACTCCAAATGTTGTCCGGGCAGCGCCGTTAGGTTATTCTTTTTCGATTTCAAACTGCCAATGTATTTTTTTCACAGCACTACACTCGGGCGTCTGATCTTACTTAATTACCAGGCGTCAACGTGAACAAATCCCAGCCTTTACAGGGGCTTGAACTCGGGACCTCCAACATTTGAGGCGGATGTCATACCTCGAGACACTCATTCCCCCCCCCCTCCCAATGCCCCAATAGACTCTGATTACCGTTACCTGTCTATCGTATCTATATTCTCTTTATGTCACTGTTAAGACATAATGCTTTCACAAGTGAACTGCATTGCTGCAGCGATGCTGCTTCTCTCTCTCTCTCTCTCTCTCTCTCTCTCTCTCTCCCTCTCTCTCTCTCTCTCTCTCTCTCTCTCTCTCTCTCTCTCTCTCTCTCTCTCTCTCTCTCTCTCTCTCTCTCTCTCTCTCTCTCTTTCTGTCATTTAACATTCATATTTTTCAATTTCTACTGAACTTTTCTAGGTTTCCAAGGTCTTTCACGTCTCTTGGGGCTTTTCCATCTGCCTTTCACCGGGGAGCCACAAATATCCGCCCGATCTGCGCTTCAGGTTACTCTGTAACCATATAGGTCCCCAATAAAACACATGGTTCAATGGGAGTTTCTGGGATTTGTACATGTTCGATTCTCGTCCTTGTGGTGCAAGTCCTACATGATGAAATCCTGGACGGGACAAACCATTCACACACTCAAAAACACACAATCACATACATTCACACACACACACACACACACACACACACACACACATAAAAGACTTGTCCGTTCCAATATGTCACAAGGCATTCTGCAAACAAGACCAAGCCATTTTTATTTTCTTCCTCTGACAACCGGTAATGGACATTTTTCTTTCCTTCCCGGTGTGTGTGTGTGTGTGCGTGCGTGCGTGCGTGTGTGTGCGTGCGTGCGTGCGTGCATGCGCGCGCGCGCGTGCGCGTGCGTGCGTGCGTGCGTGTGTGTGTGTGTGTGTGTGCGTGTGCGTGCGTGCGTGCGTGCGTGCGTGCGTGCGTGCGTGCGTGCGTGTGTGTGTGTGTGTGTGTGTGTGTGTGTGGTTTGGATTGAAACATCCAAACAAAAGGCTATTTTGAAAATCATTGAGAAACAAAGATTTCAGTGGTGCGGCCCCTAACGATAATAAATCTAACAATGCAGGCAGCGAGAATGTACAACATGAAAAAAAGGATTATAAAGAAGCAGGTGGAAACCTAGAAAAATGTATACTGAGATAGTCCCATATAATATCGACTGAGGGAGTCTATCCTGATTTGGGCTGTTTTTCTTTCTCTCTGTATAAATAACCAATAGGATAAGTAATGAGTGTATTATTTTTTTAAACTGTAATTTCTGTGGAAACCAGATTTTTATAGTATGCTCTGGCCAAATGTAAAAAGTGCGAGAACAAATTACATGTTGGGTGGGATTCACGAACGAGCTTATCACACATCACACGTTGTTTAGAACTGAAAATGTTAACTGTGCGTTAGTAACCACATAACCCAGCGAGTATACGTTTAGACATACTAGGCATCTCTTGTGATCTAGTATTTTCCATCGCAGGCTGCTGCATGTGATTACACAAATGTAAATCTAGATAGCAAGTGAACATGGCGACTCCCGGATATCCCTTACAACTTGAAAAGAAGTTTTTATTTGGACATCCTTATCGGCTACAGGGTAACATGTAGATTACAGTTCGTTGAGCAATGGGGGGGGGGGGGGGGGGGGGGTAGATAAAGATGAGACACAAAATGCCAGACGTGTGTATTAATGTATCAATCGGTACTTGATAGGTGTCAGCGTCTGTGGCTTAGTCATTGCGAACGTGCTTCGTAATGCCGACGTACCGGGTTCGATCCCAGCTGTGGACGATTTGTCTTGCGTTGGTTTCGACAGTGGTACCAAGAGATGACCGTTAAGTAAGCAATGACAAACTACTGAACGTGAACATTTGCCTAGAGAAACCATAACAAGCAAAAAATGCGTTCTGTAAAGGATACGCAACTATTGTTTTTTTTTTTTTTTTCAACTGGATAGGTGATAAATGTGATATAATGACGGATACTTTTACTACATATAACATTGTTTGAGCTTTTGAATTTGGCTAGAATGATCTAGAAGCCGATCGACTTATTTTTTTAAATCATGCTTAATCGTCCTCAATGAACAGGTCGCTTACAGAACATAGCTCTCGTCACGGCATACTTAAACGTCCCTTTTGCCCTTTAGCTAATTTTCAAGCCCTATGGGCTCTCATAGCCAATGCCTTATCAATGTCTTGTCTCCGCGATTGCGGAGATTTGCCTCTGCCTAGTTTCCTGATAACTGTACCCTCCATCACCGCTCTTTCAAGGCCATCGTGGCGTTTAGAATACCTCAGTTTTTAAGACAGGATGCTGTTATATGAGCTAATTGTTTCAGATGCTCAGATCATGTACAACGTTGCTTAGAAGGTGATAAATATAAGTAATTAAAATGTTACGTCGATGTTGTCTTTGAGGTCAAGATAGGATACATCCTAACCATCTTTTCATGGGATCAAGCAGTAGAGGTACCACGGGGTAGATGCTGCACCAGAGGACTGAGCACGCTTGTGAATGCACAATGTACAGTAACCATTTTGATAATATCCTCATCAGCCTTGCCGGCTGGCGTGGATAATCATAACCTTTCCACAATCTGCGATCTGCAAATTTTTTGTATCAGTTTGTGTGTTCACGCCCCTCCATACCATGACAAAAGGCTGTCAAAGACATTTTCGCGCTGTCTTCCTCTGTCTCTCTTTTCACAAATCTTTCCAGTGGTTACAACATGTTTCCTTTTCCTTCTTCCCAAAGCATGACCAAAAAATGATGACTGTCTCTTTCTGATGTTTGTGACAAGTTGTCTTTCGAGCACCAACATCTTTCACAACATCTGGGTTACTCTTTTTAGCTGTCCGAGGAATTCCGAGGATTCTTCTGTAAAACCACATCTTCGAAGCCTCAAGATATTATTCGGCTTGTTTATTAATTTATAATATAACAAAAGCATTTAATTAAAACAGAAGGATAAAATAAAACGTTCAATACTATAATAGTGTCTTACCGTGTCTAAGTGGTCTTTGAAAAGTCGCTGACATGAGGAGCAATCTGATGTGCAGTCAAGAGCACAATCATGATTGGTTGTGTTGTTCTGTACATCCAACAAGAAGCTCGCTGCTGCCTCGGTTGTGAAATCCAAGAGTTTTGAACATGAGAAAACTGGACGATTCTGTGATTAAAGTAAAACAGTTATGATCCTTCTCCAGCGCAGGATTACCCATTAGGCGCACTAAGCACTTGTTCAAGGGATTACAAACAGAGGGAGCACCAGATACATTTTCAAGAGCATTATGGCCGAGCCTTTATTTTCTCGGCTGAAGTATATTTAAACATTCCATCAGAACAGCAATACAGCAATGCAGCAATGCAGTCTGAATGTCTTATCTCTTTTAAGTATGTGTTTATGTTTATTCAATGGATCAACATTATGGTACACGGGTGTAAGCCATAAGCGCTTTGTTCTACTTCTAACTCAAGTATGAGTTTGAAGAATCACACACTCCGTTACACCGGTGAGGATCCAGAAATACTTTTCAACTCCAAATTTAGTATAAAAGCATGTGATACGCGAGAATATTGTTTTGGATATAATCATAGGACTACAATTCAAAATAAAAAAGATTTTTAAACCATACCAAAATATCGTCTGTGGTACCAAAGTACAGTTTTGCTCAACAAGGTTAACATAGTACAAAATGTGAACGATAGTCCCTGCTAAGGTCGCTGGGGAATACACTAGTGCTGAACTGAACAGAGATGCTAGGAATACAGGTAATAAACAGTGACGGACTATATGTCCAGATAACTTTAGCACTAGTATCTAGACCAGTGGTTCCCAACCTTCCTAATGCAGCGACCCTTTAATACATTTTCTTTATGTTGCGGCGATCCTCAAACTATTATTTTTCTTTATAACTTCAATGAATATGTGTTTTTCGATGGTCTTAAGCGACTCGTGTAAAAAAAAAAGGACCTGCAGTTTGAGAACCTCTGATCTAGACTGATTAACTGAATGAATGAGGGACTTCAAGATAAGGAAATATACACTACATTTAACCTGTTGAATCAACAAAACCAATCTCCTTAGGCACTCGACAAAAAAAAAGTATGATGAAATCGATGGACGTTAAACAAGATAAATTCAAGAAATGCGAAGAATTAGGAGTATATGCGGTTATAAAATACAGAAGTTAGATACATATTGAGCACAACCTGAAGAAAATATAATAATGATTTACCAAACAGGCACTTGAATGGACAACAAAGGAAATGAGAAGTAAAGACGTCCAAATGAGAGCCTTAGGTGAACGTTAGTGAGAGATACAAAAGGGACTGCAAGGTTTCCATTAGTGATACTGAAAAAAAAATTGCCATTGACAGAATGTAAGGAAAGATTAGGCCGTGAGCCTAACTGATGATGATGACGAGATGATGGTAATAGCATCTGCTCACAGCTTTCTGTCACGTGTCGTGTAAGTCACTGTTGTCTAAAGATATTCTTCTTTGCTACTTGGCCAAACTGTCCAACATCTCCTCTTTTCGTCTCCCTCTGGAACTCTCTCTCTCTCTCTCTCTCTCTCTCTCTCTTTCTCTCTCTTTCTCTCTCTCTCTCTCTCTCTCTCTCTCTCTCTCTCTCTCTCTCTCTCTCTCTCTCTCTCTCTCTCTCTCTCTCTGTTTAACCTAGTCTTAGTCACAATCTACGCCAGCTTCCACTTTCCATGACGTTGCGGAGCAGAATATAGACTTTTTGATGCTGGTAATTAGTTCTCATTGCGAGTTCACTGCTTTCAAGATAAATTCATGAAGCTTTTCATCTATACAATGTTCCTGACAACAGCTTCTAAGTTAATTTTCATTAATTAATCAGTTATGTGTGTGCGATGAGTTGAAATGGAGTAGATAAATAAGAGGCAGTCCAATGAAACGGTGAGCGGATAATCTACAGGCAGACTCAGGCCCATCTGGAGTCACTAGCTTTACAGAGAAAGACGATCATGGTCAAGAATAGAGGCGGGTATTATCTGCAGTAGTGACAATTAAGCTCTAGTATAGCAGAGAAGAAGAAAATGTGTACGATAACATCACATCTTGAAATAATGTTAAGTACACTAGATAAACAACATTTACCTCCGAGATAAGCACAACAAATCTCTCCCCTGGCCGCCTTATAATGTCACCAAATCTTATCCCTAGCCGCCATATTATCTCAACAAATCTTATCCCTAGCCGCCATTTTATCTAAACAAATCTTACCCCTGGCCGCCATATTAACTCAACAAATCTTACCTCTGGCACTCCTCGTTCTGTGAGAAGAATTGGAGAAATGGAATCAAAGAAACGACCCACTCCGCTCCAACTGAAAGTGTCGCTAGCATCAGTTGCGTACAGCAGCCAACGGAAGCGAGTCGGTGGAAGATGCAGTTTTGAAGTCTGTTTTGACAACAGCAACAAACATGTGTATAGATCTATTATAATCGCTGTGATTTGACTTCTGTGGCTTAGGTCTTGTGAACGCGCTTCGTAATGCCGGGGTTCCGGGTTGGATCCCAGCTGAGGACTTTACGTTTTAATTTCGACAGCGATATCGAGAAGCCGATCATCCAGAAAGCGAGGCAAACTACTGGTGGTGAAAAACGACAACAACCAAAAAATGCTGGGGTTGGTTCTGCAACGACCTGTAAAGGAGATGCAACTAACTGTGGTTTTATTTCTTATCATCACCATCAGGTGCCTTGCCGACTGGCGTGGGCGATCATTCCTCTCCATAAACCACGATCTCCTGCAGCATGTATCAGTTTGTGTGCCGACACACCTCCATGCCGTGCAACAAGACTGTCAAGAATCTTGTCTCGTTGTCTTTCTCTTTCTTATATCTTAAGCATTTCTTTTGAAACGTGTGAATAATCTCGCAATGGGGTTAGTGGGTGGTGACAGACACAGACAGACAAAACAGACAAATTATGCATGTCTGTTTTTCCCATCTGAATATCTTTCTGGAGGTTTGATTACCTCGTTAAGTGTCTTTTCCTTGATGACAGATCAACAGGGGACATTTTAAATATCCATTTCAACTTTTAAGGATCATTTATTAGAACAACAAAAACTTCTCCAGTAGTCTGGTCTAGGCTGTAGTCATATGTGGATAAAAAAAATTTTTTAGCCTGATAAGGTTATTATACATTGGCAAACACCTATATGTATGTATGTATGTGTGTGAGTGTGTGTGTATATATATATATATATATATATATATATATATATATATATATATATATAGAGAGAGAGAGAGAGAGAGAGAGAGAGAGAGAGAGAGAGAGAGAGATATATATATATATATATATATATATATATATATATATATATAGAGAGAGAGAGAGAGAGAGAGAGAGAGAGAGAGAGAGAGAGAGAAGACACAGAGACACGTTAGTTCAATTCCGAGCAACAGATCGTCGAACTGGTGGTAATTCGAATTTATATTCTTCCTCGATCGGCTCTGTGGCTAAGTCGATGCGAACGCTTCGCTTCGTAATGCCGGGATGCCAGGTTCGATCTCAGCTGCGGGAAATGCGCCTTGCGTTGGTTTCGACAGTGGTATCAAGAAAGCCGACCTCAGAAAGCAATGGCAAACTACTGGATGTAACTTGCCTAGAGAAACCACACAACAGCCAGGGGCTGTTAGGGTTGGTTCTGCAACGTCCTGTAAAGGATACGCAACTAACTTTTATTCTTCCTCGCCATTTTCATTCAAACGGGTTATATAAATCGTACATTAACCACAGAAATGCCTTGTTAGTACGTATAGTTATTGCCCATAATATGAAAAGGACATAATGTGCACTCTATTGTGTTATTTCTGGTAATCTATTTTTGACCCTACGTATGTTGTTATTTTCGTTATTCTCTATTTTTTTTAGTCGTTAAGTGTGGATTGTCGTAAGTAGCATAGATCGTAGGTAAGGGAGAAGGCATGTGTGCGCGCGCGCGTGTGTGTGTGTGTGTGTGTGTGTGTGTGTTTTGTGTGTACATGTTTATATACATAAACACACATAGATTCACTTTTTGTCAATTTCTGTATTTGTATACAAGCTAGCAAACAGACAAGTGGAACACATTTAAATAGACAAAGAAACAAAATGCCACACATACAAAATAGGGAAACACTCATACACTTGTTCCGTGTTCATCGGCTGTATGCGCCAGCGGAAAGTTCCGGTTGTTCGTGCATGTTGAGACTTTAGTTTAGTTTCAGAACCTTAGTCTTGTGCGCACATTCATTTTACAAATCCCTCTATTGTGTATGCAGACTTTTGGTAGCTTGCCTCTTGGGCATCTGCACTCCGACTTTAAAGGTTGCCCCCAATTTGTCGACTCTTGCGACATGCTGGTTGGGGAGGGAGGGGATTGGAGGCGACTTAGGGTCTATTCCTGTTTTCCCTTCAATAGAACCCCTGAACCCAGACGGGCTGAAAGGTAGGTATAAAGCTGAGTATGTAGACATTGGGGGGGGGGGGGATGGCTAGGTACAAGAGCAGCTAGTCAGGTAAGTACTTAAGCAAATAAAGAGGCGTGCATAGTTAGATAGTTGAGTATGTAGACAAGTGGGTGGCTAGGTACAAATGCAGCTAAACAGGTAAATACTTAAGCAAATAAAGAGGCGTGCATAGTTAGATAGTTGAGTATGTAGACAAGTGGGTGGCTAGGTACAAATGCAGCTAAACAGGTAAATACTTAAGCAAATAAAGAGGTGTGCATACACTTAGATAGTTGAGTATGTAAACAAGTGGGTGGCTAGGTACAAGAGCAGCTAAACAGGTAAATACTTAAACAAAGAGGCGTGCATACACTTAGATAGTTGAGTATGTAAACAAGTGGGTGGCTAGGTACAAGAGCAGCTAAACAGGTAAATACTTAAACAAAGAGGCGTGCATACAGTTAGACAGTTGAGTATGTAGACAGACAACTCACCGCTAGCAACAGTTCGTAAATACATTGTGCAGTAGCGATCACTACCACATCTTTGTCATTGGTCTTTGCTGCCAGGTTGGTCACCTGATCAGAATCATTGCAATTTATTAGCGGCAGGCTAATCTCAAACGTCAGCTTTTTGGTTCCCTTTCTGCTCGGTAGAAGGAAATGGTCTGTAAAGATAATGTTGGAACTGGCTGGAGTGTACAGTACATCAAATCAGCGGTTCTCAACCTACGGGTTGCGACCTTTGTGTGGGTCAAACGACCCTTTCACACGGGTACCCGAAGACTTATCTGAAAACAGATATTCACTGAAGTTGTGAAGTAGCAAGCAAACTAATTTTATGGTTTATAGGTCACCACAACAAGAGGAAGTGTATTAAATAGTCACGGCATTATGAAGGTTGAGAGTCACTGGATTAAATGAAAACAGCCTCTTCTAAAATCAGCCTCTGTTGTCTGGTCTGGGCCCTTAGTGGAAAATAACTTTACATCCCAAAAGCCAAAGTGTCCGATCAACGTCTACCACTGTTAATCTGCCAACAGCCAAAGTCTGTTCTATAAACGTCTGCCCGATGAACCAGCCGTCCATTTGTCACCCTGGTCGTACAGGTAGGCACATAATTTGCTACCGCAGCGACGATATATATAACACCATTGCCTGAGCACCCTTTGCAAAACCATCATTTCGTCTTGTCCAATACTCGCTGCGGAAGAAGTCTGAAGTCTGGGAGTCATGAACCCAGGCCTGCCCACCCTTTGAGATCGTCTAGGGTGGATAATGGGGGCCGAAACAATTGTTCAAAGGGGACCCACCTACTGATCATCGGTAGGCTCCTGCTGTAAGTTCTTATTATATTATTTGCCAGAGTCTGTGGCTAAAGCGTTGCTAACCCGTTTCGTAATTCCGTAGTACCGTGTTAGATGACAGCTGCGTGGGAGTTCTCAGCCGACCACTTTGCGTTGATGTCAACTGTGGTATCAATAGCCGACCGTTCAGTACCATTGCATACTACTGAAAAGTGATGGTGAAACAATAAACATCAGTAACAACAACAGTATCCGGTTTAGTTCTGCAACGTCATTTAAATGGACACGCAGCAAACTTTATTTTATGCTTTATTTAGTGTTTGTGAGAAAACTGGAATACATCGTGACAGTAGAAAAGCTGGAAAGGGAAGGAGGGAGAGGCAGAAGGAGACCGAGAGAAAAGATGCTGGACAGTTTGACATCATGGCATGGAGGATCATCTGTGTCAGAGTTGAATGAAAGTACACGAGACAGAAAGTTGAGGATAGACATGACTACCAACGCCCCATGGCATGGACTTTGAGAAGAAGTGTTTGTGAGTCAAACCTCCATTACGAGACGGAAGACAAAAGATGTGGGAAAAAAATGGATCATAGCAAATACTTTTACTGAGGTGTGAAATGCTCAGTATTTACAGTGTTTTCTGCTAATGAGGGCACATTGTCTGTAGAAGGCATTGGCAATCATAATCTTTACATCTCTTTGTCATCTGAAAGCAATAATTACTTAACATGTATTTAATTATTCTTAGCTAGCTGTTTAAGATCTCTCTCTCTCTCTCTCTCTCTATCTCTCTCTCTCTCTCTCTCTCTCTCTCTCTCATTCTCCGTTTCTAGCTCTGTCTTTCTCTCGCCCTCTCTCTCTCTCTCTCTCTCTCTCTCTCTCTCTCTCTCTCTCTCTCTCTCTCTCTCTCTCTCGTTCGTTCGTTCGTTCGTTCGTTCGTTCTCCTTCTCACCCGAACGGTTTTCTCTGAAATGAAGAGGATCAAAATTTAATCACTAAACATGATAGCAGCAGAGGAAATCGAGAAATCCAAAAAATGGCACAATAAAACAACAATGATAGATAAATAAGGGATACAACACACAAGTAAAATTTAACACTTAGTAAACATTACCTTCTCCAGATTCGTCAAAGAATAAAGCAAACGAACTTTCCATACGTTCTGTTGCAGCGGGTTGTGCGACAGATGTCAAGAATTCTGTCATGAACGACATCAGGTCAAAAGTCCAGGTGTTCACTGTAGTTGCTGCTGCTGCTGTAGCATCACCCAAGTCTTGACAATGGTTTATGGACATCTTAATGTACCCTAGCAGCCGACGAGGAAACATATCTAGAGGACAAGCTTCTTTTCTCAGGTCTACAAAGACGGTGTAGGGGTTTGACGTTGCGTAGACTGTAAAAAAAAACGCTTGTGAAATGCAATATGGGTGAAGATCAGCATTACTCATTACCCTTGTCCTGTTGTACCATCTCGTATGTCATATAGGGCATGCAGCCTATTCCTTTTTTCCGTTGTATCCTATATAATCAGTTCAATGTCATAGCTTCAGTCCAGTCCACCCCATTGGCCTCTTTCATAAACTTTCATTTAAGGGTTTGCTTTTGGGCATCCTCGCTTCCTCAGTCCCTTTATTTACCATTTCTATGACTGTTTTGTGGTTTATTCTCTGCCCGTTTTCTGTAATGATGGGTCCAGTATATTCTTTGTCTTATAACTGTTGTTACCAGTGGTTGCCCATACATTTCTCTATTTTGTTTATTTTTTTACTCTTCTTGAATTGACCCCATTGTGTGTTCAGTATTTTCCACAAGAATTTGTTTATAAATGCATTTAATTTTCGTTTCATGTCTTTCTTTGGCAAATGTTAAAACTGGAATAACGTGTGTGTTGACTGATCATATTAAATGTACACAGTAAAGTTAATGGTTTTGACTTTGCTTTGAATTTTGGTTTTTCTTTAGTGACTCTATACCAATATGTTTAAAGACCAGTCAGGACCTGGTTGGGGATGTAGTCGATATCACACTGACCGCCTTTACATTCCAGGATATTACCTGGTGCCCATTTAAATTCTTTCAGTGCCAGAAGATTTTGTAGCAGATGGTCTTTAACTACAACGTAAAAGACGTCAATTTATGAATTCTAAAGTGGCAAGTTCGCAATGCTGCATGTTGGAATGTCTAACCAAAATGTATCTGCTATGTTCATAGTAGAGGATCAATAAGGAGCATTGTATTGCTTTGTGATAATGAGCAGTAACTAACACAAATGATGCGTTGCTGGGGATAGAAATAGTCAGGCTTAGTAGACCTTAGAGACAAAGATACTATTTTGTTTTGTTAACATCTATGCCCATTGAAACTCAAGAATTTTGCGCCGGCAGGCTTGAATCTAGGCACTGCAACACCGCGGCTCTCTTAATGGTTTTAGTGGGGAGTTAACTGTAGTCTTTATTACCAGACAAAGCAAAATTATATACTAATGGTGTCATTTGCAGCTCGATTAAAGTTATATCGAAAAGTTATGAAACCATCCGAAAGTTTAAAACTAGTCTTGTTCACGTTTGGATAAAAAAATTTTCTCCGGGAGCTCTACTCCCCGCTGAATCCATTTAGCTGCAGGATATGGTATTCTGTGCCCACTTGATCCAAGTCTTCACCACGTCAGCCTTAGCATAAAACACGGGCCGCCTAAAGCAGAGCAGTCAGGCTGCTCATTACCTCGCACACCAGCCTGCTATTCAACTAACCAGCAACAACAAAACTAACCAACCCCAGCAACAACAAACCTAACCAACCAATCAATCATACAACCTGGCAACCATTTCTGTTAAAATAAAACTTACCAGTTGATATATAAAAGAGCAATGAAAATTATTAAGGAACCTTTCTCCTGCCACTGGCCAATCGGGTATATGACTTCAATTCTTACTGACCAGTTGGCACTCGGATGGTGATGTGGTATTACTTTACTAGCCAGGACTCTCCTTGTTGACTCCGGGGCCCCATTGTTGGGAAAAAGAATAGACCACTTATCGAGCATGACGTAAAAATCGACTAATAAAGGGTGATTTCTTCAAACTCTGAGTGCTTCTGACCGGGAGTCGCGTATCAGCAGTCAGCATAAAAGTAGACTAGATCTGTAAAACTGGTATGCACGCAAAACTCAGGTTCTGGAACAAGACCAAAGTTTAAAAATGGACGAACAGCCAAAACTTTCTGCCAGAGTTTAAAGTCGATGAACGCTGAAAACGGGGAGTGAGGAGGAGGAGAAAGAGACTTCACTGAACATGATACCTATCTTCGGCTGGGTCGATCTTTGGGATCACTGGTAATTTGGAAGAAAATCAAATCTGCTTCTGTAACAATTCGAACTGATGACCATGAAATACCAGACTTACATTTATTGTAGAAGTGCCGAATCTCAGACTCTTTAACTGCAGTCCACGATGCAGAAACGCGGGAATGCTCATCACTGTTGATGCCCAGAGTCTTGCTTGTTGGTAACTTTCCTATGGTTTCTGTTGCTCGATTTTGCCAGGAAATGAATTCTCTTGACGGTTCTATCAGAACTGAGAGACGATTACAGAATAATTTATTGAATGATTGAATCAAGAACTGAAATCACTGGAGTCTAGACATTTCTGCAAGTGCTTCGCCCCCTTCTTCAAAAGGCAACGAAGGTAGGTAGATAGTTGTACCCCACTAGGATATCTAGCAAGCGATAAACACCCGGTAACACAAAGTGCCACCATGCGGATGAGGATCACCCTTGCAGAGGTCCCAGAAACCCCTTTCAGTGGTTATGCCATATCTATGGCTAGACCATATTTATGGCCCATCTATATTCAGGGTCCCTGGCAGAAGCCAGGGTGGTGCTTCAAATAATACACACAAAAATGCATCCCACATGGGGACGACTTTAATAGGTAACGAAGAGTCGACATGCAAACAGAAACAGCTGCAGCCTGATTAACCGTTCTGTGTTTTCTTCTCAACGCTGAATATCTTCCAGAATCTCACTCTCCCCCGTTGAAATCGTCTGTCAGTGTGTGGATTCCCAGTCTGTTCTTCTGTACTGTCCATCTGATCCCAGCAAGCCTTTACCACGTCCGCTGTATGGTGAAGCAGCGCAACGCCTGGGGGAGCAGCAGCAGCTAAGCTACCAGCCAGTTTGTTATCTCGCACGCCTGAATCCTTGGTTATAGACATATTCAGTGAAATGTGTACTTGTAGTGCAGACAAGCAGTAAGTCGTAAAGGTAAAGAACCCTTTTTTTTTACATTAGTGATGCAGCGGACGGGCGATTCTAATCTCATTTTTTTTTTAAATAGACAAATTGGTCACCGGGAGTGATCTGGTCAACATGACGCCGGCCGCTTTTGCTTCTCAGAACTTTACCTTCTACTCTTTTAAGACTAGATCACCTGAAAGCCAATGTCAGCTTGAAAAGAATCCAACAATGCACATTTGAATCCAATACCTTTTTGCTTGAAATTAACATGGAAGACATTTTTGCATTCATCAAAACCTACATTTATGCTAAAAAAGTATGTTTATTCAGATTATGTCAATTAAGGTACCACGTTGAGATCAGCACGCGCGCACATTCGCGCATGTATGTGTGTATGTGTGTGTGTGTGTGTGTGTGTGTGTGTGTGTGTGTGTGTGTGTCGCAAATTCAAATCCAGTTATGTCTTTCTAACGTTTTATATCTTCTTCTTCTTCAGCGTTCCGAGCAGAAAAGCCTCAAAAGGTTCCTTAACCTTATTTACTATTTGCTCAAAACTTCACTAGATGTGAACATGTGTCTTCCACCTTTTTAAATTAAATAATACCTCGTCAATTCAAAAACTATACATGTCAACAGAAAATCATCCGCACGTCTGTTTCTAGAGAGCAACAGAACTAATTAAGGTTTTAGCCGAGTTTGGTGCCAATTATTATTTTTGTCATTTATAAATTATTATTTTTTTTTTTTGGGGGGGGGGGGGCATGGTCTCTAGACATAGTGTCCGCCACGAGTGCTAGTGGTCCTGGGTACAGGCCCCAGTGAAAATTGGGATTTTTTGACGTGGACTTCTAGTAATTTCCCCTGGTCTGTGATAGTATGATCGGACGCCCAGGTGTATTGTTGCGCATGTTTAAAAAAAAAATCTCTTGGCGTTTGGAAATCGAAAAGAATAGCCTAACGCTCTGCCCGGGTAAAAAATTGCAGTTAAAATCTACCAAAAATATTTCAGAATCCTCGCCGGTGCTACGGATCCGTGCGCTGCGCTGAGCAACTTCGGACTTGGACTCGAGTTAGAAGTAGAAAGGAGCACTTTTGGGTTACTATTTTTGTGCCATGATATTGATCCGTTGTTCAAACCACTCCAAACCACTTATGAATATTTTTCTTAATCACAACGTTTGATCAACATCATAGTCATGTATCTTGTCCTTAAACCTAGGCTGTCATGTTTCGCCATCTCATACCATGACTAGAATCTCCAATCAGGTCATTGTTCTTGTCTGCCCCATCCATGTGGCCAGACAATCCAGGTATATATATATTTCATTGCCTTGCTCGTGCTCTCTTTCCATTAATCCTTTGAGTGGTTACTAAGTTCTCGAATCCTTCTCATAACAGGTAAAACACCAACTATCTGTGAGTAATTCTTTTAATCAGTTTACTACTTGCATCTGTTGCCATAAAGATTGCTCCATTTTTATTTTTAATTACTCCAGGTTGTTCTTTGAAGTCTTCTGATAGAAATTTAAAAAAAAAAAAAAGATCTTTACCGCGAGTAAATATATTTTAGCGAGTCTGCTCAATGTCCATTCTCAAAATCATATAATCATCAAGTGCCATGCCAACTGGCGTAGGCGCTATCATGCATCTCGACAGATTTTGGTCTGTTGTGTTCTAAATCAATTCTACTGATGATATTTCTCCATGCCACTGTCTTAAGCCATCCACTATCATTTCTCTAGGACTGCCTTTTCTACCGATGATCTTTCTGGTCTTCACGATATCCTATAATAACACAGGATCTATTTAACACGTTTTGTTATATCTGCAATTGACATCCTCTTATTGGTGAGTCTCGTTTTGCGTCTTGCTAATGGCAAGTTGTGCCATGGGGATTCTTGTTCTAATTTCTGCAAGGCATCTTGCATCAAATGTTATGACTGTTCCTATATAGTTAGATATGTTAACCTGCTTAAGAAATTGCTGTTTGCATGTATTTTAAACTTTGATATTTCTTTCTTTCTGGTTTTGCCAGTAATTTTCTTTTTCCTATAGTTTACCCTTGGCAGTTGAAAATTGAAAAAAGTTGCCGAACGGTGCTGCCCGAGCAAAGTTTAGAGTTAAAAATCTACCCAAAATATTTCAAGATAGTCACCGGTGCTACGGAGACCTTGCACTGCGGTGAGCTATTTTGGACGCAGACTTGAGTTAGAAGTAGAACGGAATACTTATGGGTTACTATCCGTGGTATGCCATAATGTTGATCCGTTGTTAAAACATAAAACCTCTTACAGTTTGACTCTAAATCTAGTTTTTCACTATGAGCTATTACTGTATCCTCTAAACACTCAACTAGTGATCTGATTATCTTATATTGGTAATGTTACATAATCCCTCGTTGATTTCTTAACACATGGCGTTTGTAATCATGCATGAGTACCACCTGGTGACACCTGTACTGCCTATCATTTCTGACACAAACGTTCATGCGACCTATTACGTCCCAATTTCCAAAATCATGTGTGAGTTTATAAAATAGTGAGAAACATAAAACTTACCAATTAATAACTCTGCATCGCAAGTGGAACCAACAAGTAGAAACAGCTCAACAAATGTCACTAGTATGCAGGCAACCATAGCTAACGATGTAACTGTTCTCTGGCTATAACACTCCAAAATACAGTATACCGTTAATTAGGAAATGGAATCTTTTGTTGTAACTCCTTCTGTACCAATCAACTCAGTATGCGTTCATTAGAGTCTGTGTAAAATCTGCATGGATAATAAAATCTACTTGAATACCAAAATCTACTTGTATAGCAAAATCTACCTGTAAAACGAAATCTACTTGTATAACAAAATCTACTTGTATAACAAAAATGTAGCTGTATAACAAAAATTACTTTTATAACAAAATCTACTTGTATAACTAAATCTACTCGAATAACAAAATATATCTGTATAACAAAATTTAATTGTGTAACAGAATATACTTGGGGCACCATTGTGGGCAAAACAAGAATAGACATACTGCTTACTTAAAAACATGTCGTAAGAGTCGACTAATTCGGAGCTTCCTTCGAAGTCGGGGTGCATCTACTTGTAACTTACACAAAGCCTTTTTTTAAGTTGAATGACAGTGTCTTGCAACGACACATCGATGCAATTGAAAATAAGATTGGTCTAGCTGAAATACTTTTGGGTTCTTTATTATTATCCTACCCTAGATAACGTCACAGGACAGACCAACATTTTAGAGGGGGTAAGACTGAGGTTCCTGGCTTTCTGATCCTTTTAACGACCCTAAAACACCGAGAAATAGCCCTAACCCCCAACCCTTCTACGTCCATCGAGAGAGTGCAGCCTAAGTCCCACGACTGCATACAGCCTATCTACCACCACCTGAAAAATTAGACTGTCACGTGACCTGTGGATTTTCCCTGTTTGGGGTATGATATTGATAAAGCACCTACTTTTGTATTAACAATCAAAAGACAAATAAGGTCCTGATGAGAAGCGAAGAGAGAATCACACAGCAGGCACATAAACGGGAAGCAAATGGACTACGAAGACGAGGACTACCAGAAGAAACCATAAGAGGAATTTTGATGAGAGAGACTAAAAGGGGATAGACTGCATTTTATCAAGGGCAGATTATAGAATAGAGTGGAATAATAAAATATGAGCCATGTGTGTTATATAACGGCATAACAAGATGGTGATGACGATGATGATGCCTGAAATATCACATCGTGGTAGTATTGTTCTTTAATTACATCAGTCGTTTTACACTTGTGGAGCTTTTGAGGAGGAGATCGGAGCACTTATGGATCTGTTTACATTTTAAAAAGAGAATTTAAAATACCTCTTTACAGCTGATTATATATATATATATATATATATATATATATAGATATATATATATATATATATATATATATATATATATATATATAGCACTGAAATAAAACATCACATTGTTTTTTAAATATCCTTCACACAAAAATTTCATATTCACCAATATAAGCCATGAATTATATTGACACATTATGAGGTTAAATTGTCCTTTGATAATATTTTAAACTGAGAAATGTAAATGCACCAACAAGTAAAAAGAGAGAACAGGGGTAAATGCACGAACTAATCTGTAAGCATATCTGCGATTGTGTCTTTATGTGAGAATTATAATTAAATCTGATACTTGTTTTAAAACAACAACAAATAAACAAACAAGCACGATGCCGAAGAGCGGTAATGGTGATCAGTTTATGAAATAATTAAAATCAA